TTGTGTCTTTGTCTCCGACACGGCACCCTTCACCTCCCTCGTCGCGTCGTCCCAGCCATCCTCCCTCACAACGCGCTTTCTTTTACCTCGATCGCGTCTTCTCTCACACAGTGATGCATTCTCGTGCCTCGCGCTATCACACCTGCCCATGTCGTCAGGCGGCTGGCATGGGTCGCCCTTCCTTCGCGTGATGCTTGACAGGGGCTTGCAACGGCCTCCTGCAGCGCCCTGTTCTAGCTTTACCCCACCGGTTCTTTGCAGGACCTTCCACGACGACTTCCCATGATGTCACTCTTTTCCTAGGCAAGGTCTTTGGCGGCTTTCTTTGAGCTGCACATTTGGAATTCCATCAGTACTACTGCGTGTTCAGCAATCATCACAACCCTTATTCGCTATACGTGCCTTCCTCACCAGCCAATCGTCACCGTCTGCCCTCAGTATGGTGGTGCCGGCACACGGTCCAGGCTGCCATGTCGCCCGCTGGACTTCTCACGGCTTCCCGATATATCACCGTTATTGGAGGGGCTAAGTCGCTCGAAGGGGCCTTGTCCGGATTCTATGCGAGATTCGCTGACTGAGAGTCGTCGCTTGGCATGGTGGCTGTTTGCTCCCACACCACCCAACACATTGGCACCATATCTTGTGCCCTGGTACATCTCCCAGTCGATGCAGAACGGAGCCTCTTCAAGCTTTTACTAAGACCACATGAGAAGCATGGTTAGTCCAGAGTCCGCAATGGCTGGACTACGAAATGTCTCTTGGCTCCAACTTCAGCGCTGGGTTCAGCCTCATGTAATGGCCAAGTCAACGAATGCGGGAACGCTGTAGAGACATGGAGCTAATCATCCACGTTTCACGCTTCCAGGTCATGACGAATTGTGCACACATTTTTCAACATGCGCAATCAGTGGTCATGTGCACGCATCTTCGGCAGCGAACGCGCATCATGCAACTTTATCGTGGCAATCGCTGTACACACCATCTCTACAGCCTTCGCGAGAGTGCCTCGAGCTCTACCTTCCCAAACGGCTTAGCGAAACACGTCTCGCACGAACTTGAAGCTTGTCCCTATCGGGTCAAAGGGCGCCGGTCACACTGCATGCATCTATTGTTTCCGGGAACTGATCCCGCTCGGGGATGCATGCGCAGATGTACGCGTACCCAGAGCAGGCTCCTGAAATATTGTTGATATGCAAGAACTGTCTGCTGTACTGAACTTATATCTGTAGCGCATTGGCGTGATCAGGCTATCCGAGTGTCAGTTTCATGAGTTGTCTACAGATCGGAAACCGGAGTCTCGGTCTTGACGCGGATGCTCAATGTGACTACAACGGATTGTCATTCCGACGAACGCATTGCCGACGCCATTGTCAAATCGTTGCCACGTCCGACTAGTGCTCCATGTTTTCAATCGCGAGGATGACAAACCACGCGCGCCACTGAAGCGCGTTGGCGTTGCGCACCAAAGGAACGCCTAGGCAAAGCAGCGTATTCCAGTATGTTCAGAGTGTGCCGCCATCGGTTGAGGGGTAACATTTGCTAGTCATACCCAAACCCAGACAACTCATATCATGCCATCTGCGAGATGCACGAATTGTCTCATACTTCTGGTTACTATGATAACTACCGAATTATGCAGACTGGGCCTGTTATGATCGTCGTCGTTGTAAACGAACGTTTCGTCGTGCCTTCGATCGTCGGCTGCACTGACACGGCACACGCTCCGTCCGGGAGATACTCGACAAGGATGCTTGGCCGTCTATTCGTGGAGCTTGACTTAAAGCTTAATTCAAGGCGCTAGTGTGCGGCTTCAACGAGCCTTGCGCGGGGTGGCTGACGGAAGCTAATTCGGTGCTGATGAGGTGTATTGCGGGGTAATTTTATCCAAACATCTCTGTCCCTCAACAAAGAGTCCTCTACCATGCAATTTGAGTTCGCCGTTGCCAATCCACTAAGTCAGATGTACGCGATCCGGTTATCTCCAAAAAGCTTGAGTAGGGCCCGAGGGCGATGCTAGTTGCAACTCAAACCTGGGTTGCCTCTGCTTAGGCATATCGGCAGTGTGACAAGCGCCTGTCTAATATCTTACCGGCCCCTGCTGGTGTTGACAGCGTGACTACGTCTTTGCGCCTCAGTGGTGTGTTACGAAACGAAGGCCGAATCACAACTACGTCGAAATCTCCACTCCTCCTCGCCCACACCTCGGTGTCCAAGACGGAAGGTCGAGACTTGAGCAGGGTATCAGACATGGCAGCTGCAGTTCACTTCCTCATTGGACATCGCGGGACCGGCATGCTGACGTCTTGTTGCCATGATTGGCAGTTCCTCGACGCGATTTCGCCTAGACGTTCCCAGCATGTTTCCATGCGGGTAAGCGGTTGAGAGTGGGTGTGCTGACCGGCCACCCAGTAGGCTCAATTAAAGCGCTGTGGCTTCGAGACCCAGTTTCATCGACAGGACGCTACCTTGTGGTCGATAACGCCGATTCCCAGGATGTGCGGAGTATATCTTTGATATGCCGTGCTCTAGGGTAACCCTCAATAAGCCTCTTTCACTGCTCAACGAGGCACTGTGCTAGCTCTGAAACATCTTTTGTCGCTTTGGCTTTGCCTGCTATCTGCCAACCCACTATGGAGTATCTCAGGAAGAAGGCTCAAGGAAGCCGAGAAGCGATAGCCACTGATACTACCCTCCAGCGGACGATACGGTATGGCACGAAAGCTGTCCGCGCCGCACCTTCAGTGGCAGGCCAATATCTACTTCAGAAGGCGCCCATCATTCAATGGCTGCCGAAGTACAATCCGCGATGGCTACTGAACGACACATTAGCCGGTATCACTGTTGGCGTTCTGCTCATCCCTCAGTCTCTGGCGTACGCGAAGATTGCGACAATCCCCGGACAGTATGGACTCATGTCGAGTTGGCTGCCTAACTTTCTGTACCTGATCATGGGTACATCTAAGGGTAAGTCGTTGCTACTCATTGCAACCTTTTTTACTAAGACTTGCACAGACCTGTCTACTGGTCCTACGTCGCTCATGGGTCTCTTGACAGCGGAGATAATCGCAGATGTTGCTCAAGACGGATACTCACCACAAGCTATCGCTTCCGCGGTTGCTATGTCCGTCGGCATCTACTCCATGACGCTAGGCTTGCTCAAGCTAGGATTTCTGCTGGAGTTTATTTCCGTGCCTGTTCTGAGCGGCTTCATCTCCGCAGCTGCCATCGTCATCATGCTCGGCCAAATCCCCTCGCTATTCGGCATCACTGTCGGCTCCGGTACGGCGAACATCATTCACGACCTTTTCGCTAAAATACCACAATACGACGGTCCGACATGCGGAGTGGGTCTTGGAGGCCTGCTCCTGCTCTATCTCATGCAAAAGATGGGGCAACGGTGGGGCAAGAAGAACAAGGCCATATGGCTGCTAGCACTTGGTCGTAGTGCTGTAGTCCTCATTCTCTTCGCTGGCATCTCGTACGCAGTGAACAAGGACATCGACCTTGAGAATGACGATCCTGTCTGGGCACTCAGCAAGGTAAAGTCTGATGGGATTGCAACGCCTCGCATGCCAGACTCGGCACTTATCGGCAAGGTATTCGCACGAAGCATTGCACCATTCATTGCAGCTGCGCTTGAGCATCTAGCTATCGCCAAAGCCTTTGGTCGCAAGAATGGCTATGTCACCGACGCCGCACAAGAGCTGGTCTATCTCGGCTTCACCAACTTCTTCAATTCCTTCTTCTCCTCCATGGCGGTCGGTGGTGCTATGTCGAGAACTGCCGTCAACTCAGAGTCTGGCGTCAAGTCTCCAGCCTATGGTTTGATTGCAGGTGGTGTCGTCATCCTCAGTATCTTCAAGCTTTCGCCAGCGCTATACTGGATACCTAAAGCCACGTTGGCAGCCATTATTGTCACGGCAGTATGGCACATTGTAGTCCCCCTCAAAGTCTTCTACGGATATTGGCGCACCTCACTCGTCGACTTTACTACCTCTATGCTAGCCTTCTGGCTCACCCTCTTTGTCTCTTCAGAAGTTGGGATCGGCACGGCCGTCGGGTTCAACATCGTCTACCACCTCCTCTTTATGGCCTTCCACCGCGTTCACCGCATAACGTCTATCGAAGTGGCTTCTCACGGCCACCAACCCGGTATGCATCCCACTCCTCTCGATACCCAAGTATTCCGCATCCACCAGTCTATGCTCTTCTACAACGCCTACCACATCAAGACGCAGTGCCTCGATGCGGTCCAGACATTCAACTCCGGTGATGTGGCAACCTTAGAGGCTGCGCACGCAAACCGCAACTGGAGTGTCGCCGGTAAAGATCGCGCCTTGCGTCTGCGGACAAAAGCCGAAATCCTCGAAGAGCCTGTCCAGATCCGCAGTGTCGTGCTGGACATGTATGCCATGCATAATATCGACACAACAGGTCTTACGCATCTCAAAGACCTGAAAGCAGATATCGAAGCGTATGGTGGCAAGAACACGCAGTTCAGACTCGTAGGGTTAAACGACCGTGTTCGCGAGCGCTTCGCGAGGTTCGGGTGGAAGCTCCGCGATGTGGCTGATGTCAATAAGAAAGGCACGATGGTATATGACACAGTCGAGGAAGCTGTCTTCCGCCGCTCAAGGACTTTTTCGTCGGATGAGATTGAGGTGGAGCCTGCCGAGGTGTTTGTTGTTGGTGATGAGAAGAGTAAGGTTTAGATTACGGGTTCAAAGGTCGCATCATGGGTGCGCTACGCGTGTTGCTTCTTTCACTTCCGCTATCAGAAGTATTGTCACGATGTTATGATGAAACGCTCGTTATTCTTCAACTATACATAGTTTCACGTGTCTATACACGAGTCAGGATTCATCTATTCTGCATGTATCCACGATTCACTCTATTCCTTGTACTTCGCACAGCGACCGGGCGCAATCTTAAATCTCTCTCGCCTCGAACCCCAACTCTTTTCAACGTCTTTTACCTTCGTTTCACTCTACACTATTTATCTACTCGCTCGTCTCGGCAAAGCTCCCGAACATTCCTCTGCAGCACTCCCGGTTCTGCGCCATCTGCTCTTCCTCAGACAGCGCAGGGTCGATAACAGTACGGATATTGGACTTCAAGTCAACTGGAATGGCGCCACGCCGACCGTACACATAGGTTTCGACCTCCGCCTCCCGGTCAAGTTCCCGGAAGTTGTAAAACATCCACTCTAGCGAGCTCTCCGGAAGAGGATTTGCCGGCTTACCATGTACTGGTAGAGTGACAGCAGCCATAGATCTTCTTTCGCCAAAGCTGGCCGGCCACGGATGCGGAGATGACCTTGTGCCGTTGGGAAGTGGCTCTGGCTTAGACAGCGGATTTGCAGACCGTCCGTAGTATGGCCTTGCGGTATTCATTCTTAACAATTTATTGAATCGTTCTTGAGCGTTGGGAGGCGAGTTACGCCAATTTTCACTTGATCCAATAGTCCGCGGGGTTGGTCTCTTTGTATCGAGAGAGCTATGTTGAGGTGTTGTGGCGGTCGAGGGGCTATCGTTCGGCGGTGAAGACGTCCTGCTGGAAGGGTTTTGGCTTGCTGTAGCGGCGCTGGTCATCGCGTTGTTGCTGCTCGGCGCGTCGGATCGTACAACGGAATCTGCTTGGTTCCGCTCCATAGGCAGCAAAGAAGCCGATGCAGGCGGACTGTCGGGTTCTTCGTGTGGACAAGTCAGGGTGATCTCTGGGAACTGTCGCACCTTCCGAGGGAGCGTGACACTTTCTTGGTCTGCAACAGGCTTCAACAGATCTAACAACTTCTTTTGGAAAACGTTGAGTTCATCCTTGTTCTTGGGGATTGCGGACCGCTGTGGTGCTTTAAGAAGCGCGTCTGAGTTCGCCGCGGAAGTCATCGGAGCGAGAGGTTCTAGCGGATTGCTTAACAATCGAAGCTGCGACTTCGCTTCGTCTTTGTTTATAGGAACTGGAAACTTTTCCGCGAGCGCACGGTCAGCTGGTAGTTTCTTCTTGGTAGGAGAGGTGACGTTGAGTGGCTTAGGTACAAGCTTGGGTAGCAATTGCGTCTGCGCTTTGTACGAAAGTTGTTTCCAAAATGTCTTCGAATCGAAGAGAGGCAGTACCTCCGTTCGCACTTCCTCAGGTTTGTAGTCCGTGCGCATTTTCGCGGAGTGAGGGAGCTTCATTATGGAGAAGCTAGACCTTATGAACCGATCGAAAAGGATCTTTTCGGCTACGACAGCTTTCTCCGCCCTCGTTACCTCGATCTCCGACTCACTATGTGACTCACGCGCAGGAACGATTATCTGCGAAGTACGCAACGGCGAGCTCTTTGTCCGATATATCCCATCCTCACGCGCTAACCCCGACTTCTTCTTGGTCTTCACGCTGTCCCTGTGTTTGCGCAGACCCCAATCTTTTCTTTCTCCTATACTCTTCCAGAAGACTCTCTGCGCTACTTCGGTACGACCAGCCCGCCGAGAAATCAAGGCTGTCCAGTCGACCTGTGCCTCTGGGCAAGTATGGCAGTCGTTCTGGCAAGCGTGTAGATGCCAGATCATGGTATGAATTGGCCAGCCACTACTTTCGCACGAGAGGACGTCATCGCATGGCTCGGGAAGTTCTCTGAAGGAGACCTCGCAGACAGGGCAGCGAGCTGGGGAGAGGATTTTGAGGCAGATCAAGCGGTGGTCGAAGGCGTCGAGATCTTTCATACCCCATAGGTCCCTGTGGCAAAGGAGACAGGATGTTTTTTCCAGGTCTGGTGAGAATGATGGTATCGGTGTGGATGGTTCCTCTCTCTCATCTAGTTCGCTGTTCTCGACTTGCAGCGTCTCCAACGAGGTCTCGTCGCTGTCTCTAACCTCGTTTTCCTCCAGGGTATTCTTCGCATTCTGACTCTTCGGTTCCTTCGCCTTCTCTCTTAGACCCTCCCAACACTTGTTGAAATGAATGTTTGCTTTGGCTTTGGGCTTTAGCTCTACTCGTTGATAGCAGATGCCACACGTGGACTTATCGGCCTTTATGGCCTTCTTTGGCACAGGTGGTGGTTGACGCCTGGGTGGAGGTGGTGAATCTTTGATTTGGGCGGCTGGAATTCCAGGAGACGGAGGCGCAGTGGGGGCTTCTAGGTTGGGCATCGCATGATTGTTCATCTGGTCAGCTTTGACCTGAACAGTTCCAGGGCGATAAAATGTGAGAACGGGCGCTTGTATGTTCGTGGAATTGAAGTTGTGTTCCTGTGGCTGTGAAATAGGTCGAGCGGGTGTGATTTGATCGATCAGAAAGCCGTGAGTACGAGAAGCTTAGCCTAGTAGGTTTAGGGTACACTGAGTGTTTGTGCGTTCGGAAGCCAATGCTTTTTCACACATTCACCAAGCCAATTCAGGTTTCACGTTACAGACTGCGGAGCCACGAAGACTCTTGCTTCACCTATCCTGGTTGAGAGAGAACTGGCGCATTCTATGAGGTCCACTAAGTGAATTGATTGGTGTCTCTCCATGCCCGTCGTGAGCTTTACCTTTTTGACAACTCCTCATATATCTACGAGGAACACAAATACGACTCTTATCGATACATTTTGGTGGCTCTATCCTGTTCAAGTAAATGAATACATATCAGCCTCGAGCGGAGAATGACATGGAGATGAAGGATCCAAAAGTCTACACCCCGCTTACATATTGGTATTCCACATTTTTTGTACTGTTGTAGACTGCAGTGCACCTTTTCAGTTTCCTCATTGTAGTGTGTGGCAGCAACGTCTTGTGTAGCCGATCAAGTGTGAGCCAGGATCGCCTAGTAACTTCGTATAGCGAGGCTACGACATTGAACTCATCGTTACCGCAAAAGCCATTTATACCAGGGTTGTTACGAGTCGGAAGTGGTAGCATGTCTTCGAGGTCACCAAATGAGATGTGCCGATACAATGTTGAGAATATCGGAGAGTATCGCACGGTCGTCACCAGTATCATTCCAAGCTGAGTGAAAACCCATTGTTCATGCATACCGCATTCTAGCAAACCCCCATGGGCCTATTCAAGCTATATCATGATTACATAGAAGCTCTCTTGACCATCACGCATCTACACAACCGGTTAACATTGTCTACCATGATCCATCGAAACATGACAGCCCACAACTACATTGTCATTGTGAAAGATATCGAAAAAGGCTGCGCTACCTTCAGCCAGTGGGACCAACTCAGCACAAACATGGTCTTTGCGCTTCCATGGCGACTTCTGCAGCAATGTCCAGATGGACTGATACTAGACGAGCCCGAAACGGTGGAGAAGTTGGCCGAAAAAGAAGATGCCTTGTCGGACTGGGACAATGAGAACTGCGGCGTCCGGTGGGACGCAACTTCAGGCTGGACTTTCAAGTCTCTAGAGAAGCCAGACGCACCTAGTACCGAAGAAGACGCATCTGGAGACTTTACTCCGCAACCGAGCCTCACAGATTCTGTCGAAGAGGAAGTCCTGGCATATATAGCGACACTACACACTTGTCGGAAGCCTTACCCGCATGTATGCCCGTTAGTGCTGAGGAAGGTCCCAAGGCGCCTGAGCTGCAGACGGAACACTCGTGATCGCATCGACGCTTTTCGAAGTCTTGAAAAATTTACCGGATCACGATTTGGAAATGGCACTTCAATGCTAAGAAACGAGCTTCTAGTGAGCCATAACGAAGACCATGCAACCACAAATAGTGATGTTGTTAAATTTGACTCGTTCAGGTTAGCGCATCTTTGGTACGAGCGTTTTGACTCAAAGGCTGGGGGGTACGATATGACGGGCATTAAACTGCTCGAAGAAGAGCCTGGTCAGATAATAGTCCGTGGTCCTAGAAGTTTAGCACAAGAAGAGTACTAATGCCAGTATGGAAGCATTTCAGCCTTTAGACGTGTTGATAAGAATTGTACTTGTGCTTCTCGCATTGTGCTGCATACACACTATCAGATGTTAATAAATATACAGTTCTAAAGATGATGTATACTCCCAACTAAAAGATGATTTACTGGAACACTTTTGTAAAATGGGATACAAGTTGCAGCCGCCCTTGGTAAGGTCTTCTTGGCTCGCACTAGACCGACATGTCGCGGTTTTGCTGCCGCGCTGATAGCTGCTCTTGTGCTCCGAGGCAAGCGCGCCGGCTTGTGAGATCCCGGTGTTGCAGCTAGCGTGATTCATGATCAAGGTTGTGCGCCGCAAGATTATAACATGAAAGTCCGACTTTGTTACCAACGAAGGTATCCGTCATGCGAAACAACGATGAAGTAGAACGGAGCAGACATCAAAGTGCATCTTCATCCGCACGGAGGGTTGAGAGCGCCAAGCTTAGGAAAAGCAATAAACTGCATGATGCAGGCTAGAAGCACAAGACGAAAGGTGGTGTTGCGGATAGGCAAAGCCGACGGCATCATAGCGTTGGGGGCGCAAGATACGTCATCAAGCTCACGCTAGTACACGACTGGTTTAGCGGGGCTCGACGCGATCGGTGTGGTCACAGCGCGGCAAGTTTGATTCCGAGCTTGTGTTGCGTTTGTGAATTGTATTGCATTATGCGTATGCATGGGGTATCAGTAAATTTTGGTCGATGGCGTGTATCAAAGCCGACTTTTAAGGGATCTTTTTGATCCACTTCCTTAGAACATCTGCCTGTTCTTCATCTCCACAGGCAAAAAGCACATCAATAGTGCAGATAGCCAAATACCACCAGCGCCTAGCCAGAGGATGCCAGAGCTCTGATCGGCCAGAAGCTGAGCACCCGCAAAGGGTGCGACAATTCCTGCAATACGACCGAGACAAGAAAGCATGCCACTCACACTACCACGGTAGACAGTGTCGAAGAGCTCCGGCGCAGACGCGTACAAGACCGCATTGAAATACTAAACACATGTCAGTATTGGAAACGATAAGTTCGGAAATCGTCACTTACGGTTTGCATAATGTACTCCAATGCGTTCAACCCCACATAAGCAGCGGTCGAAGACACCTGAGTATACATTGCCATGGAGATACCCTGGCAAAGGGCAGAAAAGACCAGTGACCACTTTCGACCCACAAGAGGCAGCTGAATGGACGCAAGAGCTAAAATGGCACCTATGATACCTGGGAAATAGATAATCAAGTACTGCTCATAGGTGTCGCTCACAGTTCCTCGGCCCTCATCGACGTTGTTGCGTAGCAGGATAAGCGGGAGGAAGGTACCCGCCAGGTTAAAGGACCAGTAGTCTCCCTGTCTTTGTTAGTAGGCAACATAATGATGGAAAGTCAAGCTGCTTACCATGTATGCCAGCGCAAGCAAGACGAAAGTGAAAGCGGTCAGCTTGTTGGTGAAAATGCCCTTGAGGCGCGTAAGCTCCTTGCCGAATCCTTTGATGACTTTCTTGGTGGTATCCTTGGTACTTCGAGGGGAGCTTCGTGCGCTCGATGTGGCATTCCGCTTTTTGGTGAAAATGCCCTTGAGGCGCTGAAGCCCATTGCCTTTCTCGGGGGTAGCCTGAGTAGCCTGGGTAGTTCGAGGTACTTCAGTGGAAAGTCGTGCGCTTGACGTGGCATTGGACGATACTTCATCTATGGCGGCAAACATCTCCATAGTCAACGTTGGAGCTGGCTGCTTGTTGAATTTCGCAATCCTGTGAAGGACGTCAAGGGCCTCCTGCTCTTTTCCTCGCGCAAGCAGGAACTTTGGGGACTCATGGAAAGTGAAGACGAAGTACCGAAGGAAAAAGACGGCCAAGGTCATACAGCCAAGCACTATGACAGTGTAACGCCATCCCATGTTACTGTCAACGGTACAGCAAGCAACTCCAGGCTCGACGTCTGGACAAGCCGGCGCTTCGGGATCGCAGCGCCATTTAGCTTGGCCAGTGGTGCCGTAGGCAATGCAAGAGGCAATGGCCACACCAATGGGCTGCCACATGGAAAGAAGCGCGACAAGGAAGCGGCGGTTATGAGGTAGAAACTCGAGCGCGATGGTCGCATCGATAGGTATGTTACCTCCGAGGCCCAATGAAGCGAGGAAGTAGATAGCGCATATCGCAGGGTAGTTGTACTTGGGTGCGGCCTGCCATATTGTTAATTACCAGTAATCGATATTGCGGCTTCATGGACATACCAGCAAGAGTCCGAATATGGAGGTAATGAGACAAGTCAAGTTGAAAGCCCACTTGCGTCCGATGATATCCACAGCAAGACCAAAGCCGAGCGCACCGACAGCAAGTCCTGCGTTAGCAATTGCAAATATATCTCCAGTGTGTTCGTCCGAAACTCCCATCTGCAAATGCTTTAGTTCACGGTACCCGATTTGTCTGGCCTAACTCACCTCCTGGTAGATGGCAGAAGCAATTAAACCAACACCTTGTGACCAGGCGAGATCAAGGAAGTATCCAAAGCCACAGAGGAACCAGATGCATATCTGGTATCTGCCCATTCCAAATTTATCGAGCTCGACATTGATGAGGGCGGCCTTCTTCTCAAAGGTGTTGAGCGGGTTTGCGGCTGTGCCTTTGAGGATCGCAGCGAAAGACAAGTCGGTTTGGTCGACGCGTTCGACGTCGTTGTAGATGGGGATTTCGACTTTAGCGCGCGCATTCTCGGGGTGCTCGACGGGTATCTTCTCCTCATCGCTGAGGTGCGCAGGGCTGCGCTCCGACTGCTTGACATCCATCTTGACGGCGGCAGGGCAAGCTACTGTCAAGGGCAGGGTATTGTCAGGTGACTGCGCGTAGATTGGGTGAGAGTGAGTCGCCTCGTGGTAATGGCAGTTTACAGGGCCGGTACCGTGGGACAAGGTATTATACGTACGCGGGGAACGAGTAGCCCTTTCACGCTACCGTCAACTACTGGCGAAACGGATCTAAGCGACGAAGGCGCTACGATCTAAGTGCTGATCCAAGCCTCGTCCGTTCAACGGCCCTCATGTCCAAGACGGCAGAGGTTTAGCTGATCCGATCTCATTGGGTGCCACCGACTGATGACGGCATAGCCAGTAGCCTTGTCGCGCGACTTTGCCTGACCCTGTTCTTGCATGGTTTTGTTCCTTCGGCATGGCCGTGTAGCGATAAATCTTGGACAGCGACTAACAAGATGCACTAACAGCTCAGCTGATTAGAGTCTGATAGGTTCGCCGTTCCGTCGGA